ATGACAATCCACAGAATCGAGAAAATATTTGGAAATCATATAACCTGATAAGGGTCTAGTATCTAGAATACATCAGAAATGCAATGCAACAATAAAAAGACAAGTAATCCAATTTAAAAATGGACAAAAGGTCTGAAAAGACATTTCTCCAAAGAAAATATTCAATTGGTCAACAAGCACATGAAAAAATGCTCATCATTACTATTAGGGATAAGTAAATTAAAGCCATAATGAGATTCCACTTCATGTCCACTAGGATAGCTATAATAATTATGTGTTAAAAGTAAAGAGTAAGTGTTAATGATGATATGGAGAAATTAGAACCTTAACATATTGCGAATGGGAAAGTAAATGATGCAGCAAAGGAGGAAAAGAGTTTGGCAATTCCACAACATATTAAACAAGGCTACCATATTACCCAGCAATTCCCCTGGATATATACCCAAAAGAATTGAAATACTTCAATTCAAACAAAAACTTGTATACATATGTTCATAGCCACACTATTTAGAAAAAATATCACTAAATCACTACATCACAAAGGATCTAATTATACATCATTGGTAAATGGCTATACAAAAAAAGTGGTATAGCTATACAACGATCACGTGGCTATAAAAAGGAATAATGTACTGATATATGCTGTAACATAGTCACTACATCACAAAGAAACAATCTAATTATACACCATTGATAAATGGCCATACAAAAAATGTGGTATAGCTATACAATTATGTGGCTATAAAGAGGAATAAAGTACTGTTTTTATGCCCAAACATAGATAAACCTAGAAAATATTAAGTGAGAAGTCAGACATAAAAGGTTACATATATTTTGGAAATAGGTAGAGGTGACGGTTGAATAACATTGGGAATGTACTAGAAGTCACTGAAATGTCCACTTTAAAATGGCTAATTTTTGACCGGGCATGGGGGCTCACACCTGTAATTCCAGCACTTTGGGAGGCTGAGGTGTAAGGATTGCTTGAGGCCAGGAGTTTGAGACCAACCTGGGCAACACAGTGATATCCCGTCTCTCCAAAAAAAAAAAAAAAAAAAAAATTTAATTAGCCAGTCTCGGTGGCACATGCCTGTAGTCCTAGCTGCCCTGGAAGCTGAGGTGGGAGGACTGCTGGAGCCCAGGAGTTGGAGGCTGCAGTGAAGTATGATTGTGCAACTGCAACTCCGGCCTTAGGTGACAGAGTGAGACTTTAATTTATAAACTTAATAAAAATAAAACAAATTTTATAAAATGGCTAATTTTATAAACGTGAATTTTACCTCAAAAAAAGGCCAAATGTACACCTATCATATGATGCAGCAAAGAGAAATAAGACATATGTCCATTGTACACAAAGGTTCATAGAAAGTTTATTTGTAATAACTAAAAACTATAACAACGAAAATGAATAAAATAAACTGTGGTATATTCATAGAGAATACAGTTACTAAAACTCATTGAACTATACCCCCAAAATGGGCGACTTTTATTGCATACAATGTTTATGAACAATTTTATTTAAAACAAAAAGATAAGTTTAAGATAAAAGGCAACAAAGTTACAAGTTAACGGTAAGTTATAAATACATAACTAGTCCTCAGGAAACAGGTGTCATCCTCTCCCCTTCCCCACTCCGCCACGCAACGCAACGGGTCCATATATCCATTTTCATGTTTCTTCATGATTCCACTGCCATAGCAATACTTAAGACCTTTCTGGCTTGGCGTCCAACAGTCTTGTGATATCCCAACCCCAAAATTCAAGAAATCACACGGTCTAGCCTGTATCAGATATGCAGCTCTGATGTAAATACCTGTACCACTTTTGTTGGAGAAGTGGTATGGGATGGGATCATATTTAGAACTCTATGTTCCTTAGACCAACCCTACCCCACTGGTCGTCAGAATGATGTCCCTACATTGTTGGGCAGGTTTTTAAAAGAAAAGCTGTGGGCAAGGATATTAGGTAACTGTCTTAACTGCTCAAACCGAAAGGGAAAACTTTTCTGTTTTTTTAATTCCCTAACATTTTGAATTAAGATACTTTTCATTACACCTAATACATATCAATCTTATAATTAAAAAAAATAAACTCTGTCAAGAGGAAATTAAATATTTAAAAAATACATTTAAAGTTACTAAATCTTTTGGTGCTTCAGTTTCTTCATCTTAATATAGAGGTAATAAAATGGTTGTGAAGATTAAGTGAGAAAATATGTATAAAGCATTAAAATTCATGAATATTAACAAATATTGCTCCGGAATTTTTTCCCACTTGAAATGTCTTCTGAGCCTACAATTTCAATACTTATTTTTCCATATTAAGTTTATAAACAATATGCTATCACTAATACCTCTAATAAACTACAATTACATACTATCATCTCAGAAAAAAGCCAAGCCTTAAAAAAAAAAAAAAAAAAAAAACTGAGTCATTAACACAAGACAAAATGTGTTAAATTGTTAAAATAACAAGTACTCACTGAACATATACAGTTTCAGATTATCAGGACACTCACTGTTCTGCTCTGTGCACTGCAGACATAAAAATTAAAAGGATAAGGGCAGTCTTGCGCTGTATATTTATAAGCAAATTACACTGAGGAAGAAGCACAGCCTGGTCAAGTCTTTAAACTCATTTGGGTAAAATCTTATGTGGAAAGAAAAAGGCCAATGGCTAAATATGCATAAAATGTGATAAGAAATAGATTTGGAGAATTCTAGTAGTACTAATGGAACATCAGCAGGTTGGAAGAGAGTGGCAGAATATTACGAAGATGTTCCTTGGAAAGAGAAGTTGGTACCAGACTCTGAAGGGCTCTGTAAAAAGAAAAAAGGAAAGCTAAGAAATTTGGATTATATATGGTAGACAATGGGAAGCCATCAGAGATTTTTATGGAGCAACATCTGGAGGGAGACTGCAGAGAGGCAAAAAACATTACTTTTTTAAAAAAGCATAAACTTTTGAGTTAAATCTAATTTCCGACTGTAGTTCCAATGTGTTAGTTGTGTGAGAACAAATCACTGAGCCCCTCTCAGCTTGTTTTATTCGAAGATAATAACCACCTCAGCGATGTTGTAAAGATTAACGAGAGAATGTATGGGATGTGATTTTTACAGTTTAGTAACTATGTAATTGGAGACTTATGTATCATTTGCTCTGTGCCACACACTATTCTAAGGTCTTTGTATATATTAACTCATTTAACCCTCACAATAATCCTACAGAGTAGGTAACCCCTTTACATGGTAGAGGGAAATGAAGCACAGAGAGGTTAAACAGCTTGCCCAGGGTCACCAGCTATCATATCAAGTGGTGGAGATGGGATTCAAAACAAGGCAATCTGGCCCCAGTTTCATGGCTTTAATCAACACATTATAATGTCTCTCTAGGAAAGATCAAATCAGTGTTTGTAAAACTCATACCATTTTCTAACCTTTCAGTTAAATATGCAGACTCTTCAAAATACCATCCTCCAGACCTACAGATTCAGAAACTGAGATTTGAAGTGCAGGAATCAGCATTGAACAAATCCTTCAAGGTAATATATACACAATAAATTTTGAAACTCACTGATTTAAGAAAGCAAAAACTCAAAATAATTCAGGTAGGAAAAAAAGAAAGATTAGGATATAGAGATCAATTTTTTAAAATTAACATTTGCTGATAACACACATGAAATGAGCAGAAAAGCTTAGAGAAGGATAGCCAATGTCTTTGTTTCAAAGACAATATATGAAAAATGTTCATATTTCAACTATCCTCAACACCGAGTATTTAAATCTATACTTCCTGGCTAACACTGAAAGCAAAAGTTCAACAGCAGGAAGAATGGCGGTGTTGGAATAGCCTGCAGTGGATGAAGGAATGTCTCTATTTTAATATTATGAAGTCCCACTTTTAAAAAGATATTTATACCTTTATATGGTACAATACCCTGGTGTTAAAATATTAAGAGGAGCTTAAAATATCTTTTCATTAAGCTACACAGTTAAAACTGACTATTTTTAATAAAGCAAGGTATAAAACTCGTACACATTTAAAGTTCCCATTTACAGTTTACATTTATGGAACACATTTAAACTATTCCAGAAAGCATGACTTTACTACTGGGTCAAATTTTCATATTTCAGATAGTTTATCATTAAAAAATAAATTTTAAAAAAGGAAGCCCAAAATAAAATCCAAAGAAAACAGATGCTCAAAGCATTAGTGGAGTACTTCCAAAAAGACTCCATAATAACCCAGTTGGCCAATGAATGAAGGAGGCGAAAAGCCAGGGCGATGGAACTAAACCTTATCCCTATTGTTTGCAAACTAAGACCCTCGTGAATCACCACCACTGTTACTATAGCCGGTTTAAATAAGAAAGAGTCTCGGATTTTTGCGGTACCTGAAAAATGTCAACCGTGAAAGAAAAATATCCGGGTTTTAAATACAAAGGATACTCGGATTTCAGTTTAAATCCCCACCAGGCATTTCAAAGACTGTCACTTCCCTGTAGCACAGGGTTAATCAACACTGCCTTGGTATCTCTCTTAAGAGGAACCTGGAGCCAAGTAAAGCATCTTTTCATTCTAAATCTGCCCCAACCTTCCATCTTCATAAAAAGAGGTTCGTTTTTACGTGGCAACTCTTTCACAAACAAGATTTAACGACCGAATTGGTGGAAATAAACTATGGGTTACCAAGAAAAAAAAAAAAAAAAAGCCACGGAGAACGCGTATCAACAAGGCTTACTCGCGGGGGGGCAGGCAGGGCCTCGGAATCCCCAGCACTGAGGGCTGGCTGGTGTGTGCAGTGGTCGAGAGAGCTGGTCAGGCAGACGCCCCCAGTGCCCCGAATTCCCAGAGTCTCCAGGCCGGGCCCCAGCGCCCGACGTCCCAAAAGCACTGCGAGGCCCCCGCTGCGCTGTCCGGCCTCCCGACACACTGTCCCACCCCACCGTTCCGCTTCTCTCCCTGGAACACTCGGCGTATTCCCGTTCCCCATTTACTCACCAAGGTGCGCCGGGCAGAAGTTCCAGAGCGTCTGCGTCACTTTTCCCTGCCCGCTCAGCGCCGCGGCACGCGGACCGCGAGCAGCCACACTCAACGGCCCACAAGATTCAAATTCGCCCACTTCCGCTCCCAAACCCGGAAGGAGCGATAAGCCCTGCCCTCGAGGGGGCGGGACCCCCGAAGGTGCTCGCGGTGAGGAAGAGCGCGCGCGCTCCCGCCCGCTTGGCGCCCCAGCCGTGCTGCTCAGTGCTGACTTGCCTCTGTCGCCTTCGCTTGTCTTGCCAGGTCCCTCTTCCCGATCTCACAAAAACTCCGGGCTCAGGGTCGTTGTCTTCGCCTGTTTGTCCTTGAGGGGATTCTCTTGTTTCTGAACTGGACAGAGACGTGCTGAAGTTTCGTCACCTGCGAGGAATGAGGCGAATGAAAGCACCAACAGCTGCGAGGGTTTTATCTTTCCTCTTATCCTCGAGCAAACAGCAGCAACAGCACGAAGGAAAAAAAGCAAGCCCTCCAAATACTTAGTGCAGCCTTTCCTGAGCCTCCTCAGTCCTATCCCGGCACAGTTAGGGCTTTTAACTCTTTCTGTCCCCGGTTTGGGGAAAACAGAAAGCCAAGTTCACCCGTATTCAGCCAGAAGTTGAAAATAAGTGCTCAGACCAACTCCTGGTCTCAAACTGATGGCAAGTGTTAGAAAGCAATAAATCTTATTCCCGCCCCCCGCATAAGGGCTCACTTTACGAGATTATTAAGTATTGTCCTGTGAGATTATTGGAATAACACTATCTTCTCGTTTATTGAGGACCACAGTACATCTTTGATCCAAAATGTCTTAAGCTTCTGAAGAGACATGTGGGAGCTTCCAGAAACTAAAGGAAGGACTGGAAATGCTAGGGATTGAGGGGCACTAAAGAACTCTGACTTTTATAGCTGTAATTGATGTTGCCACCAGATCATCCTCACATCTAATATTAGCATTGAACCTAAACTGATCAGTTCACACCAATCCATGACGGCATACCTTTAGTCTTTATAAAAGATACAATTTGAAAGGTTTACTAGATTTTTAGGAACCTATCCTACAGGTAATCTGACACAGAGAGTAGTAAACCTATTAACTGATGTACTGTTTTTAACAGTGGAAGATAGAAAATAACCTGGGTCTACCAATAAAGAAGTGGTTTAAGGCAAGTAAGTTATGATACTTTAGCATCTACTATGCTGACACTGTGGGAACTAAATGTAATCAAGTAGATCAGCAGGTACTGAAATGAAAAATTGAAAAAAGTTTAAGAAGGACTATAGTATCCTACTTTGAAAGTATACGTGTGTATATGTTATACAAAATTGAGGGATGGATACCTAAGCTGTAAACATCTCTGGGAGCAGGATTGATAATTGGAGTAGGAGGAGATGGATGGTTTTACCTTTCATTTTTATCACCAGTTGAATTTTTAAGACAATAAGCTTTTTTTTTCTTTTGCAATTTTGTTCTTTAAGGAAGATTGTTAGAAATTGAATATATTCTAGATATAGAATCAGGTTTATTAAGCATATAAATTTGTTTGGATAGTCCATGTCCATTCATTCATTCAGCGATTCATTCAATAATTACATATAACAATTTAACCACACATTTTGTCATTCATGATATATTGTATTATTTTATGTTCTACATATCTAATATGACCCCATTAAATATATTGGTCCTTGAAGTTTCTTGAAGGCAGCAACTATGTCATATATTTTCCTATGTCTTTCATAATTCTTGGCACCTTCCCAATATTTTTTTTTTTTTGAGACGGAGTTTTGCTCTTGTTACCCAGGATGGAGTGCAATGGCGCAATCTCGGCTCACCGCAACCTCCGCCTCCTGGGCTCAGGCAATTCTCCTGCCTCAGCCTCCTGAGTAGCTGGGACTACAGGCACGTGCCACCATACCCAGCTAATTTTTTGTATTTTTAGTAGAGACGGGGTTTCACCATGTTGACCAGGATGGTCTCGATCTCTTGACCTCGTGATCCACCCGCCTCGGCCTCCCAAAGTGCTGGGATTACAGGCTTGAGCCACCGCGCCCGGCCGGCACCTTCCCAATATTAAGTGTTATTCTTCACAGGAATTAAATTCTCAAGTCAACCTGTACACAAAAGTTAAAATTGCCCTGGAAAAGCCACCCAGAAAATCATATATATATATATATGATTTTCTTTATACAACTCTATGGGCAAGTTTTTAATTTTTTATTTTTTTGTTTGTCCCCTGAGTTGTCCTTGGTCAGTCCTTCTCTGCAACCCTAAATGAATTCTTCAGTTTCTTCCACTAAAATGTTGACAAAGTCATTATCACCCCACAGCCTGGCTATCACTTGGGAAAATGAGATTCAGTTCTCATCAGTAGTGGAGAGCCCTGTAAAGTCATTCACATTTTTTTCCATAAGATTAGCCAGGCTTAATTGTATTAATTGTCTAGAGCTAGAGTTCACTGAGTGGTCTATCTGGTTATTTGTGCTATTTAAAATGTTGTTCTTTTTTTTTTCACCAGAATGAGTATAGGTGATTTTGAATACAATCAATATTCAAGTAATGTTACAGCATTTCATGAACAAAAAAGATCTTTAATAAATACCCACTGATTAAATCAAAGAGCCTGAGTAAATACAGACTTAAGGACTTTTGAAAGAAAATAGTCATTGCAAAATATACTTAAATCTAACAAACCTGGCCATCAGACTGGGCATTCTGATAGCTTAAAAACATTTTTAATTAAGTGAAATTAATATAAATATTCTGCTTAATAAATGCTGCAAAAATTGAAGAATAAAATTAAGAATTTTATTCAGTCTCTGATAATCCTTCAGTAATGTGAACTAGTTGAGAACTGAATTCTTATAAAATTTGAGTCATAGCTAATATAACCTTCTCTCCCTCCTGCTTTCCTCTTCCTATTAAATGCATATACAGCAGAAAACAAGATAAAAACACTTCTGGGACCAAGGGTCATCAATTTTACATGGAAGAAACAACATAAACTGCTTTGGCAGAAGAGTTCCTGTAATCTACTCTAAAAGGTTCTTACCACAATCAACATGAGTAACAGAAATTATAAAATGCTTAGAAATAAATTTTAAAGAAAATACACAAAATTAAATTAGAATTCAATTTAATTTTAATTTAAAATTTAAATACAGTTTTAAATAAATGTTCTTTCTAAAGAAAGATATAGAACCTGCTACTTTAAAATATAATTGGAGAACATAAGTGATTGCAATATTCAAATAGGAAAATTAATACATGAGAATTCTTAAAACAGAAAAAGAAAACAGAGGTCAGGAGTAGAATTTGTCTTACTAGATAGTAAAAACTTACCACAAAGCTGCTACAAAGAGTAGTGAAAACAACAACAACAACAAAAAAACCAGATGAAAAATGTAGTATTAGCACAAAAAAGAAAAATACTTAGAGAATCCAGAAAAATTAAACTATATATAGAGAGAATATTAATATAAAGGTGATATTTCAGTTTTAGGAAAAGGATGGCTTCATTCATAAATAAACAAGAATTGGCAGTAACTGGCTGGTTATATAGAAGATAAAAAGTTAAGCCTGTACCTTTTATCATATAGCAAAATTAATTCTGGAAGGATTAAAGATTGAAATAAAAAAAATAAAACAAGAGTATATTGGGGAAAAGTTTAGAACAGTAACTATGACTTTTAGTGGAAGAGACTTCTTAAACAAGGCAGGTAGGTCTAGGTGCAGTACCTCTTGCCTATAATCCCAGCATTTTGAGAAGCCAAGGCAGGAAGATCACTTCAAATCAGGAGTTTGTGACAGCCTGGGTAACATAACAAGACCCCTGTCTCTATGAATTTTTTTAAAAAATTTATCTGTGTGTGGTAGTGTGCACCTGTCGTCCCAGCTACTCAGGAGGCTGAGGTGGGAGGATCCCTTGAGCCCAAGAATTGGAGGTTGCACTGAGCTATGCACCACTGCACTCCAACCTGGGTGACAGAGCAAGACAAGAATCCTAGAAGCCATAAAATAAAAGATGAATATGTTTGATTATGTTAAAGTTTAAAATATTTGAAGAGCAAAGTCACCATGACACATTGAAAGATAAATGAAAGACCATGATAAAATATTTATAAAACATAGGACACTACATTAACAATTCTAATAGAAAAAAATTTTATAATTTGTTTTCAAAAAGCAATCGAAATGGGCAGAAGAAATGAACAAGTAATTCATTGAAAAAGAAGTGAAAAAGGACAAGACACAAAAAATACTCAACCTTACTAACTCACTTTTGGGAATGTAAATCAACCAACCAAATACCAACTTTCCTTTATTGGATTAGCAGAAATTAAAACAATTCATAGTATCCCATACAGGGAGGGTGTGGTGGTAAAATATACACGCTTAACCACAGGAGCATACATTGCTACAACTCTTGGAAAGTAACTCAGGCTTTTCTCAACTTTGGGATTCTCCTATAGAAATAAGCATGTTAGTGCTTTTTGAACCACTGCTTATAATGGCTCCTAACTGGAAATGACTATCAAGAGGAAGATCATTGAATGAGTAAGGTAGGGCACATCCATCCTTTTAGGAGACTATCTAAACTTGTGTTACTTTGCCCCATAAACCATTGCCTCCAAAATTAGGGCTATTGAACCAAGACATGCAAATAAGGTATGATATTCTTTAGAGAAATAACAATACTCTGTTATATAGTAATGCTGATAAACCTGGCACTCATTCTTAAGTTAGCACCTACCTAGAATTAATATATATTTTTGGGCTAAATTATCCTTTACAGGAACTCATTCCTCCCCTGGGTTAGCCATATTGAACTTCTGGTAACCCCTCTTGCTTTTCAAATGAGTCAGATTTTTTTGATCCTCATTACCTACCTACATTTGAAGCAAATACTTGACTGATACTTAGGGCAAAACCAACCCTGAATGTCTCTGTTTACTTTTCTCTTTCACTCTGAGGATAAATTTCTAGCTTTCTGTCTAGTCTCTCTCCTCAGCAATACCTATTAATATTCTGCCCGGTATTGATATCACCTCACTTTATCTGTTGCCTTGATTAGAGAGCATCCCTGAGATCTTAGAAGGAAAATTTTTAATTAAGTTTTCTGATACTC